GGCTCTCCAAACACACCGATAAAATTGTGCTCTATCTCACAAGCTTGAAAAAAAGCAATAAACAAGATACATTATCTTTATTTCAAAGAGTAGACACAAACTCACAAAAAGTATACTTCTTTTCACCGTCTGTTAATGATAAAGGAAGTCATGCCTGTTGATTGTACTTCAAAGGACTTCAATGCTAAAGAACCCTCGATTCATTTTTTTATTATGGGATTTCGCACACGTGGTTTCTTGCGTAGGTGACTGATTACAGACCGTTATCTATGTAGCGCCTAAAAAGTTGTAGGTTTTTGTCTCAGAAGGAGCTTTCATTGCCTCTGTTCTTCAAAAAAAGTAATGCGAACCTGTGCTGTTAGTGAGTTGGTTGGTTTGAATGAGCATGCGAAAGCGGGATAAACAGACCTTGGCCCATCTGTATTGAATGCAAAATATATTATGTAATCAATGATGCTGTGCTTCTTGAATGTTTTGCCTTTTCAGACAAAAAAAGCGTTCAATTACAGCTTCGAGCGGTCGCTTTAGTGCGCCTTAATTGTTTCTCCTCACGTGTTGTACCTGCCTAATAGAGAAACGAAAAAGTTTAAGCAATGTGATTATTCGGCATTACAGTTAGTGCTGAAATCGAGGCAGTTTGAATAACTATGACCACTGGAACCAATTTAATGTGCAGTCTCGTGCAGTACGTGATGAAACATGCTGTCTGCCCTCAAAGTGAGGGCCACCCTGCAAAGCAGCCTCGACCTAGAAAAAAGAGTGATGAATTTAACTCAATAGATCAGTGGCACCTTCTCTACCAATTTAACGTTTATCGGTGTCATTGTTCAGGCTAGGGTTTAGATTACCGACAGCCAGCGTGTTTAAGCTCATTTTAGGTGCGACATCTTATGGAGACCAACACGTGGATTTATTTAGAGTTGAAATGTATTGTCTTCAGAAACGATTTTTATGTATAAAATAATAATTTCAGGGGCTTTTTGAACAAGGATGATTCACAAAATATATACTGCATAAAAGTGAGGCAGCGGTTATTTTCTTAGACGAGCTGAACATTCAAGCCTGAGTATTTTGTGAGGGCTTAACCTATACTACAACAAATAGTTAACAAAACCATACGTTGGTTACCACATTGAGGCGACTTGTATATAGAAAATTTGTAGGGCGTCCCAACGTATGACATAGGAGTGTTTTAGTAAAAAAAAAATCAACGCATGAGGCACGCAGTACTAGAAACAAACCCTTCAGGTGCGTAGAAAAGAACAATGTTCTGTTTCATCCGATCGAAACTTACCAAGGTAAAGAAGTGGATAAGTATACTATATGATTAAACAAGAACATCAATATGCCATCACTTTTCCCCATGACAGCAACGCGCGCAACAAGAAATGCCTTGGTATCAGACTAAGTGAAACTTCCTAATAATTTCGAAAACTTTGCGCAATTTTCAATTCGCAATGCCTGCACACCGTGTCCTTACCTTCTTAAACTTCACTAATCGTGCTGAATCGACAAATGAATACATGCACTCTTAAATTTAGCAGTCAAATGAAATCACTCCTTTCTTTATAGGTATGTTTGATTTTCGGCATTGACTAGCGAGAAGATTATTGTGCCCTGTTTGTAAACTGCATAGCTTTTTAACACGCCAGAGACCGTGCATGTACGTAGTGCTTCTGAACATTATTTTTCTTCTTTTTGTATTCGTTCTCTCCTACAATTCTTCAAGAATATAATAATGCGAATAACATAGTGGGCTCCAACGTATACGCTTCATTCCTACAGTTTTTAATATATGAATAAAAACAAACGATTAAAGTTATATTTCGGTGAGCGGCAGAGCAGTGCGTGTGCTTTTCTTGTGACAGTGTCGACACGTTCGGTCGTGGTTTGCTGAAGTGTAGTGCAAGCACTCAGCCCCTTCTCGGCTTCAGAGTTAGTGGGTTAGTGCTATACGTCTGCGAAGTTGGCTTAAAAGCACTGGGAAGGTATGATTACTTTGAACTTTCTACTGAGTGGTGGCCGCCTCCACAGGTCTAGCAATTCAAGCCGGGTACTCAGGAGGTAGTGGCAGCAAAAAGGCACGCTTCAAAAGTATGGATTTTGGTCATGAATGTTTAAGGTAACTCTATAGCACGTAGTCTGCAATACATGGAGGAAAGAAATAATCAGAAAAATGAAAAACCTGGGGGATAAAACTGACACGCAGAACGTGAGTTTCGTAGGCAGCGACCAAGCGTGTAGATAGATAGATAGATAGATAGATAGATAGATAGATAGACAGACAGACAGACAGACAGACAGACAGACAGACAGACAGACAGACAGACAGACAGACAGACAGACAGACAGACAGACAGACAGACAGACAGACAGACAGACAGACAGATAGATAGATAGATAGATAGATAGATAGATAGATAGATAGATAGATAGATAGATAGATAGATAGATAGATAGATAGATAGATAGATAGATAGATAGATAGATAGAAAATTTTTTAAACGGCACTTCTGTGAAGCTTGCGCTTCTCGATACATTTTGCATAGCATGCCTTATTAAACGAATTGGTTCGTATCATAAGAACAGATGGGAAGTATACTTGAGTGCCATTACATGGTAACGCATGTGTTAGAGGAAAACTGAATATGAAGGTATAACACTTGTTTGTTTCGTTCGTTTCCTCTTCTGAAGCCTGTCCTTGAAGCAAGGCTCAAGGGTGTTTCGAGTTTGTTGAAGAGCCTGAGCGCCGTAATGGGGGTTTGATCTTGTGAACTTAATCGTTGCTGCTAGACTACAACATGGTTTTTAGAGTGTAAACGTCAACTAACACTAATGTAGTCTTCACGGCCATCACAATAACATTCAGTTAGATTCCGCACGTGAATAATGTTCGCCTCTACGATCGCTGAATTTAATAAAAGAAGTAATAATGGTGTGTTCCTGATCTTTTCCTTCGACTTCGATAAACATTTAATGAAAAACAATGCACATGTTGCCCTTATGCTTAGTGTAACCTTCACTAATCGTTAATTGACTTTTGGATACTCTGGTAACGTTTTAGAAGTTCTTGAATCACTTGCATCAACACGTCCAGCTTTTTATCTAACGTAACGCAGCGGCCAAAAACAAACAAAAAAGAACGCCACCAATAATGGCATATTCTCAAAAACGTGTTAAAAAAATTTGAACCCTGGCAAGCTGGCCGGCGAGTGGATCTCAACTCTCTCCCTTTTAAGAAGCCTTCTTTAGCGTTCATAAGAAGACCACTTCCTTATGACTGAGCGGATTCTTCAAAATGTCAAGATAAGGGGAGGGGGGGTGTTCACATTGAACAGGGAAAGCTGTCTGGGTGGCTTTAATAACGCTCAGCGCAAACTCTTCTCTCTGACGATTCCTTTCGCAAGCGTTGGTAAAAACGTGCTTGCAGTTTTAGCCCACTTCTTATGCTTACGCCTGGAAAGAATGTTTTTTTTCTCTCATGACGGCTCTACAAATAAACCCTCGCAGCAAGTCATTCTGGCGTGCTAGAAAACGAAAAAGAAGTACGGTATTTTCATCTCCTGTCTCTTTTATGGAAGTAGAACCAGTTCAGCACTATTCCTTCACAACCGGAAAGGGCCACCCATAAGAATAAATAAAACGTGCGTTTTCCCATCAAAGTTGGATTAGCGGCACCGGATTAGGGGCCAGATGTGGTGGTGGCACTGCTCTGTTTTCAAGCGCACAAGCGTAAAGATGACCCGTGGACAGACCTAAAGCAAAGCGGAGATTTCTTGCATGCACGCTTTGCTGAGAACCACACGTTGAAGATCCAAATATCAAGTGCAGTTAAAACTTCTGGAATGCAGAAAGAAGAAGTGGCAAAAAAAAACTGCAAGAGAAGAAACAAATAACTTATCGCCTTGACTGAATCTTCTACCCTAGCGCCACTAAGCCCCTGCCTCGCTCCATGGGTCCGGTTTCTTCAGAGCTTGTGCCTACGCTTTTTATCCAAACTCTGTAACACGAGCCCCCGCTGTTTCAACAAGAAAGTTGGGGGACAAGTAAACTGCATCCGCAAGAAGCATGAAACACGATTACGGAACCACTGAAAACTTGGCACGAAAGAAATTTTTATAAATTAAAAAGGGCGGAAGTTAAGGAGACGATGAAGGGCTGCAGAAGGGGAAGATGCCGTGAACGTGGGCGATACTAAAGCTAACATTACGACAAGTGGACTTGCCTCCTTCAAGAAAGTGGTGTTATCTTAATTCTTCAGTGTTGCTGCCCTGAAGACATGTGTCCCCTTGTCGAAATATTTCAGCAATAGATGGAGCTTTGAACAGACAAAGAACTCTTCAACGAAAAAGTTGGGGAGGGGAGGGGGGGGGTTGCTGAAATCAGTTTGGTCGTCATCTTAAAAACAGCGACCTCGGTTTCTTCACTTCAATGTTGCTGCCCTGAAAGAGACAGTACTACCTGTCGATAAGTTGGCTACATCGATATCACCTGCTGAAGAATATTTCATCTCTTTCTACGTGACCGCTTATTACGGATGCCTTCTTCGATCTCCATACACGTTCGTCATCATTGAGAGTTCTTCGTCATTGACTGTGGGGACTGATTCTGACTATTATCAGTGCTTCGGCCGTGGTTGCCTCCCCATCTCTTTGGGACCTAATAAAGGTCGCGTTAAGTAATCCGTGAATTCTGGGGGAAGTCCATTCTTTTATGTATTGTGTCCTTCAATATAGTCTCTCTAGGACTGTCTCTGTGCCTGTCCTTTTGAGGGGAAGAACCTCAGGGTCTTGGCTTGTGCCTCCGATGTCCCAATTTCTCGCTTACACGCGCTGGGAGTGCACCGGTCGTAGGTATAAGAGGAGACCGTTGATCGCCGGTTCCCTCGTGGCACGCTGTTTCTTTCGATGCGGCGCCACGAGAGATATAAAACGTGCCCACTGCCGGCTCTCTCTCTCTCATGGTGGAGTGAACTTCGTTATGATTGAAAACACGACAGCATGCAGCGCGGCTGCGCGGCAACAAAGTCCAGAGTTTTAGACTTGCGGAGCGGCTGCATGCAGCACGGCAGTGCAGACTTGCAGACTCGCGAAGCTTCAGTGAAACGGCAGCGCCGGTAAGCCGACCCGCTGCCTAGGGCTCGCGAAGCTGCAGGGACACGGGAACGCTGTCTTCTCAAATTTCTGGTTCGATCCCATTCAAGAACCCCTAGCTTTGCATTTAACCGATCATAAGACGGTCATATTGAAAGAAAAACACCAGCCATATCATACCCCCTTGCCGCATTGCGAATAATGTGAATAACAGCTCTGTAGATACTGTACAAACGTGTTGCCACGTGTTTCCATGATCGAGTGGCCAATGTATGGGGGTTAATGATTCCCCGGAGCTTCACCCACTTGCCATTATTCACTTAATGGATATGCTATGATTTTTTTATTCTGTGTCTCTATGTTTAAATAATTTTGGGATGGTAAGTGAGGGGGGGGGGTGAAGGACTATCGATAACAAAAGAACGTAAGGTTTCTGTAGCCTCACAATTCGTCAACAACAATATGAACAAGTGGTAGGGTCGCGGTGAGATTAAAACAAGAAACTGTTAGAGAGTTCGTGGGTAAAGAGACCACGGTGATGCTTTGTAGTGAACTTAGAAGACCTGTACCTTTCTCGCATACATGATATGAAAAATTGTGTGAGTTGATCGTTGCATGAGCGTGTATGCCTATTATAAACGTGTACAAGTGCTCAAAAGGAGACAATAATGCGTTAGATAGAAAATGAAAGTTCTGATTTCACTCGCCGCTGTTGACAGTATTTATGGGAAGTCGAATAAAAACACTCGAAGCGAGATGGCCAGGCACTCGAAACACTGATTTCTTGTTTGAGAAACACACTTTCATTTTGTAACATTACAATTATTCGACGATGATATTATTGCTGAGAAATTAAAAGACTGAAAGCTGCATTTTGTTGTGTTTTGTCACAAATGCCTATAATATAGAGATTTCTTTGAACACTGCTGCCTAGCTGTCATAGTGACAGCAATGTTAGACTACAGTGCTTGTTGAACAGATAAGAACTAGGAATTTCTAGGAAACTAAATCATTATTGCGCAAAATCATCAGCAAAACATAACATTAAGGATCAAAAACACGCTAAGTTACATGAACTGCGTTATTTACTCATTGTCACGGACGGCTATTTTTGGCGACACCGCGTCACGGCAATTAACGGGCGCCGTACTCCCCGACTGACCGTGAGAAACGGCGGCGCATGAAAGGGAGCCGAGAAGTGCAAAATGGGGTGCTCTTCTTAGAACGTCGCCGCCGGCAGTTAATCCTTTTGTAACTGTGGCGACGTCTGCAAGGTCGTAGAAGGCCGTGGTAAACCCCGAACAAGGATTAGACTACAAGACGCCCCGGCTGAGAGCCAAACGTTTGACCATTCCCACGGGGAAAAGCGTGGGAAACGCTCTGGTGGCCAAGCCGTATGACAACAACCCAACAGGTTGTCACTCTCACTAGTTGAGGGCCCTCTTCCAATTAAAAAGGGGTGGGGTCAAAATATTTTTGGGGCGGAGTTTCCCATCAATTAAACGCGCATGATTGGACCCAGGTAGAGGTCTCTTGTCCCCAAGGAAGAGAGCGAGGAGACACGAGGGGGATTTAAGCGCAGGATTTTGCCCTGCTAGGCAGACTAGTCGCTGACCAACATGGTGTAGAAACAGATCAACAAGCATCTCTTCTAGAAGTTTTAGTGTGGCTCTGTATCGGCTGGCCACCTAAACCTAGCCGTTCGTCTAGTTGTGACGCGATATTAACGTCTTCAACGTAGACATCGGGACTTCGCCTCGAGTTAGCTCAAGCTGCTCGAAGTCACCTGCAAGCACTAGCCTCCCGGAGCCACCAGCGTTGCAACACCGCCGACATCGCAGTCGGGCCAGAACTCTCTTCGACTTCTCGCATCCGATCGTCGGGGACACAACGCTGCCGGTCTTCACACGTATGCCTTCACCTGTTTATATCTTCGAACTTTCTCCTCCGTAGTCTATAATTGTTAGTTTGTGTAGTTTGTAATAGTTCTTGCTCGTAAGCTGATTTATTGTTTTGTTTATGTATTTTTTAGTTGTATCAAGTGTTCATGTATTTTGTTAGTTGTATTGAAGTGTTGTATTAGATCCCGTGTGCTGCAATATCACTAGAGTAAAGTTGTTTTGTTTTCTCACGTCTCTGATCTCTTCACTGTCTCTGCTTGCGTACGGAACGAACCAACCTGCTGTCATTCCCGTCGCCGACTTCGCGCTGGCGACGCTAGAGTGGCAGCTTGTAACACTCATATATTAACTGCATAAGCGCAATGACAGAAGCGCTATGAAGTGCAGAAACGTTGACTCTGCTTCGTCGTGCACTTTTACGTAGGCACCCTAACTTACGCGTTTCGGCACACTTGAATAACAAACAATTATTTATATGGACAAGTAACTTTGCTGAAGCAGGTGGGCCATTTCTCATACTGCTTATTTACTTTTATCTTGTGTCAGCACAGTCCAACAAATTATGTCTCCGAACGTGATGTCATTATTTGGTTTCCTTTTTGTATCGTGCCTCCTGAGTCGACCAAATGAAAAACTGGTTCATTTTAATAGAGACTCCGGCATGTACGATGTAAGCGTGATCCTAATTTGGAGGTCGTAATTTTCTATAAAACTTCTGATGAAAATGCAATTACTGAAGCTAAATGTTTGACAGCTGCACGAAACAGCGTGGGAATATTCAGTATGTGTTCAACGAAATTTTATTATAAATCTTTAAGTTGGCTCTTATAAGAGGAAATATGTTTCCTCTTATAGTAAATCAACAACAGTAAACAGCTGTAGTATATTTTACGTTTCTTCGGTATGTAAAACCACAAGTCGGGGAAAATTGATTACGTTTACCATCAAATGACATGCAACTTTCACCAGTACATGTTTTGTACTTCAGTACCGAATGATTCGATGTTCACAAGCTACACCGTTGTCGAACACCACGAAGACTTTTTTGATGCTAGCTATGCCGTCTTGTAAAACTTTCTTGTTTTCGTGCTCATTCCAAGCTCACAGACATTGAATAAACGAATATACCAGCCGCGTGTTTGGAATTCAAAAGTGCTTGGCGCATTGGCATAGGAAACCCGTAATTGTGCTACAATAACTAAGATACTCACTCAAATGAAAATGAAAGATATGTTAAGAAACGTAATAATCTGGTAGCAAGTTCTAATGCACTGCACCACTTTGTACGGCCTATGAATCTGCTTTGCTTTTAGCTCAGCGTAGCAGTAATGAATCAATTACAATGCCGAGCTTCTTGCATTTTATCTACGATGTAAATATGAGGCAAGCTTTGGTAAGCAACTGCACTTCCATTCGAAAAGCCTTGCCATTCAGTGAACATAAAGATAAGCAAGACCTGAAGGAAGTTCTTGCTTTTCTTCTCATTTGAATGCTGCCGTTAAGTGGCTGGGTACTGAGACAGGTCTGTTGTCATTACCGAAGCCGCGCCACAGCCACTGAGGTCTTCCATGGTGCAGTTGTACACTGCATGTTCAACTCTCTCTCGAGTTAATACCTCTTCATCCATGGTACACAGGTCAGTCTGTCGTGACCCTCTCCCTCTTCCACAGCGCTGTTCTCCTGTGTAATCCTTAGAGACCACGCCAATTCTAGATGCTCAATTTGCAAGTATTTGATTCTAATAAACATAATACACACGTTTTATCTTCAGACAGCGCAACGATCAATGTATTAGTTTCTGAAAGTGCTTGCCTGTTTTCATACTACATTTTAATGAATAACAATAGAAGCTTGAACGAGCTGGTGCGCGTTCAACTCGGTTGAACAGCGCACACGAGATGACGACGAAGTAAAAGAACACAGACAGGCGCTTAGTCGCCACTAAAACTCATTTGGGAAAGAACAGCTGATATATATATGTGAAATGACACTAAACAGAAAATGCAAAAAAAAACAAAACGAACAGCAATGCATTCAGACACGCTGAAATCAAGGGAAAAACAAGGAGGGGGGGGGATAATTACAGTGATATCATCTTCTGCAAGTGCTAGAAAGATAGCTCAATTGTGCATCGCTCAGCAGAATGGATGGCATGCCGACACACTTATCTTTTTTCCTTCGGGTTGGGAAGGCTCCAATCAATTTTCTCGCTGATTTTCCTGATGCGACCGTATCATTGTGTCGTTGAAGAAAGGTACGCAACCGCATTCGTGAAAATGAGTGACAAGGGAGTACGGTTTTGATTCAGATAATGAGAATTCGTGTTCCATAAGGCGAACGTTGACGCATCTTCCACTTTGGCGAACTCCCGCTTTGGCTACATTGTAACATTGTCACGTCACAACGTTTACGCTACAGAAGGTTATTTCAACAGGTTGCTTCTAGCGAGTGAAAATAGCTGTCCAGTATCATGTCATACGTATTGCAGATTACTCTTCGGTAATCGCATATGTTCTTTGTTCCCACTACTGTGGACGCAGTGCCACTAAATTGGGTATGCTGTATGTAGCTAAACTAAATTGGCGTAAACTTAAAGCATGCTTCCTTTATACTGTTGATAGAATACTGTGTATTGAACTCAACAACAACTTTACGACAGCTAAATTCTGAGCGAATGCATATGTCGTCTGAAACTTCGAAAGGGTTGCTGTTAGGGCGAGTTGGTGTTTCATATTACAGCACGTGTTAGCCTGTAACATGCAAGAAGGCGAAATGGGCATGGGCAGGGCATGTACCGCGTAGACAGGATATCTGCTGGTCATTAAGAGTATCTAACTGGATTTCCAGAGAAGGCAATCAGGTTAGGGGGAGAGAAAAAGTTAGATGAGCAGATGAGATTAAGAAGTTTGTGGGTATAAAATGGCAGCAGCAAACACAGGACAGAGTTGACCGGTGGAACATGGGAGAGGCCTTTTTCCTGCAGTGTACGTAGTCAGGCTGATGATGATGATGAACATGCAAAAAAAGGACCCTGTCACACATAAACGCTTTCACGTCTTTTCATTTTTGTCGTGGTTCTTTTGTTGAATGTGTCGGGCTAATAGGGCCAAGCAGGAAAATGAACAAAAGTGTGTGTGTGTGTGTGTGTGTGTGTGAGAGAGAGAGAGAGAGAGAGAGAGAGGGGAAAAGGCAGGAATGTTACCTGCAGTTTGCGCGACCGGTACGCCATCCTGCATAGGTGAAATGCTTAGGGGACATTGAAAAAACAGTGAATGAACGCGTAGAGAAGGAAATGAATGTCTATGACTCCTTTTGACCTTGCCACAAACCGTACTGCTTATTTGGTTGTTAGGTTTCGTTAACGTTAGGTGATTTTTCACTACACTTCACAAAAGTGTCCATCACCAACGACCAATAATAAAAAAAATGCGGAAGTACGGGTCTCTTTCCTACTGGGTGTCTTCAAAGAGCTACAGTGACATTCCATGGGCGTTGCGTGCGGTGCAAGAAAAACAAAACAAAACAAGAATACCACGCAATTCTTCCCTTCCTTTGTTCCTGGTGTATCTATATCCTACTTATAGTATCTGCTGTCACAATGCTACACTCCGGCATAGTCCGCATAGTCTTCGTCGTTCCACACACGATCACACAAACACACACGTATATGTATGTATGTATGTATGTATGTATGTATGTATGTATGTATGTATGTATGTATGTATGTATGTATGTATGTATGTATGTATGTATGTATGTATGTATGTATGTATGTATGTATGTATGTATGTATGTATGTATGTATGTATGTATGTATGTATGTATGTATGTATGTATCACCAAGAATGTGGACGGCATTAGACCGAACCTGTGACTGCTATATAGCCATTGACATGGCTCGAAGTCGGAATGTGTCTAATAAAGGCTAGAATGTTAGCCAGAACAGAGACACACTGTAACGCCAAGCTTGCCTGACAGGCCCGAAAGCCATTTCTGGAGTGCAATAATGAATAACTGACATACTATGGGCAAGCTGGGGTCTCCATAGCAACCGAATTCTCGGAATCGCAAGTTACCATGTGTTTGACTCCTGTGAAGCCTATGTGCTATGTAGCCTATGTGACTACTGTGTTACTACGTAACCAGAAATAGCTTCCTTGGTCATTTATGCGCGTTACAGTAGTACCTAGCGAAATATGAAAGTCTAAGAGCATGCCGATGTGGCTGGATAGAAATTTAGAGAACATGGACATAGAGCATGCTACGGAAATGCATCATTGACGCTACTTCTTATATATGTAAGTGCCTTACAACTTGAATCATGATAACACATCGTATTAAACAATAAAAGGTTATATTATTAATTATAAGGAGACAATTTCTCAAGTTGCACGTCAGCTAGAAGTGAATAGATTGGTGGAGAACTTCGCGACGGAGAAGCAAAATCAGTACCAACACAAAGTTTCTCTGGTATTATCTAAACTGATCTTCCGAAAAAATAAATGCTTTGTCGCACCTGAAAGTCAGAATTGAGGAAGAAAACTAATTAGGTGTCCAATGCCCAGTATTCCATAAACAAAACAGGCCGTTAAATGTTGCGAAGTTGGCACTTTGTGGCTATAATGTACGTGCATTTGTGTGTTTACTAGCCATGTTTACGGGAAAATTCCAAATACATCTAAATGAACAACCATGGCCGTATTGTGTATTTGACAATGAGAAGTGAATAATCGATTGCTTTTATTTTTTACGAGTTTTCATTCTTTTGTATCGGAGTGCATAACGTTTAGTATATTGTGGCATTTAGAGAAGTTTTTATTTTCGAATTCCGTGTTTTTGAAGTGTGAATATTTTTCCATTGAAAAAGTTCATTTTATGTAAACATTTGTAATCTATAGCGCTTAAACATTGAGAGAATGTCTGCCCACGCTTTCGCTTATCAAGTGCTACCTTTTTTTCTTCACAGTATAGCGAAGAAACTCAAAATTCAGTTGAAGATCAGTAGCCAATGGCTCACTAGTAATAAACTTTACTTAAGTACACTGATGAAAAAAGAAGCAAACATCATCATGTATGCAGTACAGTGCCCTGCGCCTTTAACGGTTGTGTACGTTCGAACCCCCTCCTGATTGGGGACCAGTTACAGTAAAGCTTAATTCCTTAAGCCATGTCAAACAAACCTTCATGCTGCATGAACTGACGCACGACGCGAACAATGAATGTTTCCAGTACACAGACAGCATGTTTATGGATGTTTGTGATGACAATACCTACAGCCCAGTTCAGACGATAGAAGATACAAACTTCTGGAACCTCAATGTGCTTTCTTTGCTGTTTTTGTTTTGCAGGTGCTACACAGTGAATAAGTAAGGACCAGACTTTGTGCGTCATCGATTTCGTCGCGACGCATTCATCTGTATGACTGTTCTACATTAACGACACGCCTTTTGAAGTTCAAGGCGAAAAATCGAGTTTGCCTCGTTCTAAGTTGTCAATGAAGGTATTCAAAAAATGATTACTTCCGGACCAGCACGAAAAATGTTTTTCGTAAGTGTAAGAACGCGGGCGAGATATTTCAGCGTTTCTGGTGCATGGTCTGAATAACGCCAGCGCAGATAAACGTAGCGAGGTGAGAAAGGCCCTGCTGACTTTACGCACCAAGCGCCATCCTAAGACCAGCTCTGAGATGGATAACAACGACCTCAAGGCAAGACAAGAACGTGCAGATTGTTTTGGGTTATCTCAAGTCTGTAGATAGAGGAAATAGCTTAAATAATCTACCGCATTACTGAAGAGCTGCGTAAAACCTAGGCGAAGAACTGAACCCCACACTGCTCTTGTCGTGAACTTCTACTGACGACTTGCGTAATTTCCAAAACAGGATGTAAGACTAGTGAATGTAAGCGTTTAGATTTTTGTCATTGGTGTATGTAGGAAGTTAATTCCATTGATTCGTACCGCTCGCCTACGCTGAACAGCTTGGAAGCGAACTGTGGGTTCGAATAAAAGCGTGGACGCTTGAAAGCGTGTCTGATCCTGGTCGGGTCGCATGTTGATTAGCAAGGAGTCTGTGACCGCCAAGGTTACCAACTAGCCTAGCGCGAACTCATCGGTCGGACGCGCACACCCGGCAACATTTTCGAATGTTCGTTCCGTGGCCACCGTCCACCATGGAGTCCCCCTGCGACCGATGACTGCTTTACGCTCAACGACACAGCCATAGTCACCGACTGCGATGGCCTGGGAGCGAATGCCAGTTGGCGCACGCCTTCTCCAGAAGGGGCACCATACTGGAACCAGACGCCACTGCAGTTGCCTCCCGATCACGTGTACTTCGAATACCCCGAAGAGATGCTGGTGCCGTGGGTGATGAACGAGTACTTCTTCTTCATCGTGGTTACGTACTTGGTGACTTTCGCCATAGGCGTGAGCGGCAACTTGGTGGTGATTTCGGTGATGGCTGGCGACAAGTCTTCGAGGAACGTCACCAGTGTCTTCCTTCGTCAGCCTGGCCTGTGTCAGATCTGCTCCTACTGACCATCTGTGCACCACTGGACGTTGCTCACTACTTCGTAGTCCGGTGGGACGCGAGCGGCACGGTGTGTAAACTGGCTGCTTACGCCGAGACGGTGTCTGCTTTCGCTTCAGTGCTCAACATGGTCGCAGTCACGCTTGAAAGGTATGCGAATCTGTCACAGCATAGGTGTTCTAGATATCTTTAAAAGTCACAGTAGCTTTAGTTTACTCTTGGTCCTTGTGTTCGTCCCGGTATAATTGTCACCCATATCATGTCACCAGTAATCAATAAAATGATATGATGCTGATAATGGTAAGGCTAAATTAGGAGGACGGTGTTCGAAATTAGACTAAGCTTAGCCTATCATCCCATAAACTCTCGTACTTGAAGCTCCATTGAGCGATGGTTAAGAGGTTGAGTAGCTGGCTGAGTTTTGAGCAGTGAAGCTTTTCGTAGGCAATGTTCCCACTATCAGATGACGTAGCACTGATCATGAGTCAACACAATGTGGAGAGATTGAATGTCCGTGAGAAGAGAAAGTGCATCGAGCCGAGTATGGATAGGCAGAATCGGGCGGGTGAACCTGAGACGCTTGCTAGGAAAGAAAAGAGTGAAATCTTGCAGAAAGAGTGAGCCAATGAGGTAAGCGTCAAGATGGCCGAGAGTGAGGCTAAGCGGAAGAATCTAGCTGTCGTAAGAGAAGTAGGTGAAAGAGTGGCTTGGTTCCTTGCGAATTATCCCTTTTGTTGATGGCCGAGACGCCTCCTGAACAAGAAGATGCCCGACGTGACCGTCGGCGAGCGCTGACGCGGCAACTGGCGTATCGTCGCGAGACAATAGCGATGTTCCCTCAAAAGAGGCGGAAATCAGGCGCCAACAAAAACATTTGCAAAACATAGAAGCACGGTCGCCTGATGAAGGACGGACATTAGATTTCCTGCTTCTTCAGTTCTGGCGAAGCGCAGCTTGCTAGATTTTTTATGTGCTCTATTGTAATTTGAGCGGCCAGTTTTGTCCAAGCAAACTGTTACATAGGAGGCTTAAAGATATTGTGCCTGACTAACAGCTCCCTGAAAACAATGATTGCTCTATACCTTGTGCAAACTGTATTGATATTCTGATATACCAGTAGATACTCAAGGCTATTTTTGAATATTTAATCCCATCATAGACTGAACGTGGCTATAAATAAGTGGAAGCTAAGGGGAGGACTTATCAACGGGAAGTGCACGTTATTTGGCCGCCTTCGTCCAAGTCCGCCGTTCAGTGTCCTCGGTAATATTGTTACACTATCTCAACTATATCACTTTATTAAATTGTAGGAAGTTGTAAATTAAAGGGCCAGTTTTTCCTTATTAGACACAACTTCGATGAGAACAAACAGACAATGTTGCCAGAGAAAGTATAGGGGATGTTAGAAGTAATATTAATGTAAATGAGGAGAAAGAAAGTGCTTGAAAAAAAACTTACCACCAGCAAGATCGAGACCGGCGACCTTCGAACAACGCATTCGATGCAACGTGACGATATATATATATATATATATATATATATATATATATATATATATATATATATATATATATATATATATATATAACCTTATATTATGTAAGCAATCAGCTTGAAAAAGACCCTGAAAGAATGAACGAGATGAAGGGCAAAAAGAAGGCCATTGTGTCACGCAGTCCATTACAAAGTTCAAAATAAACCAACAACTAGCATAACAAATGCTTATTAATTGTGCCGTTCTGGTATGTCGATTAGCCACACATGCGATGATTCAAATACATGTTTAACCAGTGAAAGAAAGGCATCTGATTGTGATCAATGTGTATTACACTTTCCGCGATGCCAGGTTCGTGGTGATTGTGTTCCCCATCCACTCTCGCACGGTGTGCACCATGAGCAACTGCAAGAGGCTGATGTGGGGCGTTTGGCTCGTATCCCTTGTCGTTGCCCTGCCGATGCTCTTCGTGAAGGTGAGATGTAGATATCGCAGCTAACCGAATGCGCGTTAGTACATGCAGTCAGTAACACTTTTGCTTTAGTGGAGGTGCCTAAACAATCGCTCTTTGACTGCGCATTGCAAATGTATATTCAGACACGAGAACAATCCTAAAAGCAGGCCAAATGTTGCTAGCCATAGCAAATTTTCTCAAAATATGGCTTACCATTTCATCCCTCTTAAATTTTATCGAGTGTGGACACCGGCTACAGAGAAACGACTAGTGAGACCTCAGTACAATGCGAAACAGCCACTATGCAGAGGTTTCATCATTCATGTTTCGGTTGCTTGATAGTACAAGTCTGAGCTCTGCACTCTGGCTATGTGCACTCACGTGTTTGGTGGCAGTATATGGTGTGATCAGTCCGAGGATCGGATTGCAGAACTTTCGTCTGAGAAAGCCACAAATCAGACGTTGTGACCCTTTATTTTTTGGCTCTGCATACTTCAGACATTCTTGAGTGCTGACATTAGCCATGCGACTACATTATGTTTGTATCAGCTCAAGAAAGTCTGTATTGACTGCTTTTGATGTCACTATGACAATGAAATAATTCAACAAACACCTAACGTGGGCTGTACCAACGACGTTTTCGCAGAACGTGATCCAGACAACTTTCACTAACCTGCGGGTGAACGTCACCATCTACAGTTGCAAGGACGAACACGACTGGCAGGGTCAGTCGGTGTCCTGGTATCGCCTAGTCACGCTTTTCGCTCTCCCCTCGGTCGTCATGATCGTCTGCTATTCATGGGTCATCCTGGAACTTTGGGTCAGCACCAAGACCATGGACCAGCTCACTCAGTCCGCAAAGTTCAGGTATACATCTGATATCGTTACGTAAAAATGATACTATAGGTTTAAACTCGTGTATTTACGTTGACGTTTGTAGCATGGGCCTTCCGGTCAGAAGCCGAGCACCGTTGCCAACTATCCACCATAGTGGACTCAGCCTACTGTGTTCGCCAATGCAACGAATAGTCCTATACATCGTCATAAATGAAACAATGAAGAAAAGGTCAGCTAGGCTCCCGCACACATCTGTTAGCTGCTCTAAACGTGGTGAAGAGAAGAGGGCAGCAAAATAAAGTTGAAAGGAAAGGCTACGTTGTAATATTGTTGTAAGCTAGACGCTATAGACGAAATGCTGGAGACGACCCCAATAGAAAACTTCCGGAACCGGTAGTGGCACTTGCACGTGGGCGTTCGCGTGACCTCGTGTATTCCTTAGGCCTAAGTATGCTTTTCGTGGCACTGCCGAAGTGCAATATAGAAACCACTTAGAAAGAAGCGCGTGGCTGAGATATTTTCCGTCAGGTGCCGCCTCAACAATCTCAGCTGCTCACAAGTAAACAATACGCACTTCTAACAAACAAATTCATTTATTTCAATAAATTTACTAACTGTTCATTGGCTAATATTATCAGTAAATCAATTCCCGGTCTCATACGTATCCAACATAACTCTAAACTTCATCCAGAACCACCGATTTGGAACCTGCTCTATTTTTCACAGAAAAATATTCTGAACATTCGGCAAAACCGAAATTCTCAACTGGAAGCGTTTCAAAAGAAAGAAGAGTATCACTGGGGTTTCGTGTCAGAAAAAAACAAAACATGTTGAACTAAGTTACAAGTGACATTTCCTGTGGTGCTATTATATTTGACAGCTTTTGTTAATATAAAGGCGAAATAGGTAACGTAGTATTTTTTAAATTTTATTTTAATTTGTTTTCATACTTTCAGGGCCCTAGGGCGCGACAGACAGTTGTAGTTAACAACAATATAGTAATCACTTCAATTTTGAAGGTGCCAGATTCTTCGACAGCAGTAGCGGTGCCTAGAAGGGGGTGTGAGTCACTGCTTGTTTGTGTCAAAAAATGAATAATATAAATGTCAAGTGTTCGTGCGGCATTAGGGAACCACAATGATACATAGTCTACGGGAAGGAAAAGATAGTTTTTAAGTGTTCGATACGTATAAAGAATTTGTAGATTTGGTTCAAGTGAAGGAATTTAAGTGAGACTTGAAACGGAAATTCATGTCACTCATACGTATACTTCACGTCGTACAAAAATCAGTGTAGGCAGTACTTCGGTGTTTTAGTATGGTTAGTAAGAAAGCTTCATAATACCTAAGACCTGTTTCGTAATAATGGAAGTAGACGGCAGAATACTCAGTACTAGTTTTTATCGGCTGCGCTTCTGTAGGCTATAACAACCGAGAAAAATTGCAAGGAGTCGTATGAACCTTCTTTTGCAGCCGATTTTCATAGAAGCCGCGTCGTTTTCGGCCTTCTTCATCAGTGCTCTAATAATTTTAATGAGATGGCTCTCTCTTTAATTATTATTTATCGGCATCTGGTGTGGTAATGCGTGTCGTAATGACATGCACGATGACACATTTCATTGTTGCCTTCAGTGATCTTATCATTTGCAGCTTGAGCACGCTTCCATTAAATGTTCATCTTGAAGATTGTGAATAATTAGAAAGGACCACTTTTTTCAAAACTGTTCCACACCATCACTAATGCTAGTGACTTGACACGTTGCAGCTACCAATGCCAGGCACCCACAACGCCCAGACTGGGCTCCCTCCCTAGCCCAGGACCACAGCAGCCAAACTGCAGACTCATTCTTCGGGGTCACGCCAACTCTGATATAAGGGACGTCAAGAGAGCGCGCCAACAGGTACACACTAGAAAAAAAAAATATGCCGTCTTGATTCATTTTACTTACGCTGCCACATTTATTCAAAGACAATATTGTGTTTTCGTCTCCATTTATTAACAAAGTTACATCTCATTATATGTATGAATGAACTGGTGACTGCTATTGGCAATTATGCACTTCGTGCACACAGTAAATTTAATCGTAAGTTGATGTGACGTTGGAAATAACGTTGAAATCAAAGTTATTTCATGAGTTGACCTCTCCTTATTGCCAAACTGTAAACACTAAAAATCGTTTCTCATTTTACCAGCCCAGAACAGCCTTATTGGAAATCCTGTTTTCTAGACGACCTTATCAGAACTGGTCACAAATACAAGACTGCGAGGGCATTGTTAAAATTATTTAAAAACAGCAGACTTACAGGAGCACCTGTAAACTGGTAGTGTTCGCGGTAAAGACTGACAGTAATGCCATATACCGCACATGACTGGCTGATGGTGGCGTTGCGTGTTCGTACGTGCGTACACGCATGCGTATGTGCGCTCGCTTTCCAAGCCTTCTGAGTTTATTTAATCTCCCAGCTTTCGAGCCTCCAAACTCGTCATCCCTTCCGCTTGTGCAAGATAGACCATCGGTTATGCAAAACCAGTTAACGTCCCCGCACTTCCATTCTTACGCACGTTTTTTTTCCTCTTCATTACGCTAGTGCAAACGCCCTTCACTTCACGTATTCCCTCCTTTGCTTGCAGGTCATCAAGATGCTGATACTTGTGGTGATCCTCTTCCTGCTGTGCTGGGGTCCCCGGCTCGTCATGGAGATCGTCATCAAGTGCTGCCTCAACGTGTTCAACCACGGCGTGTACGCCGTGCGCGTACTCTTCTACTTGCTGCCGTTCGTGCACAGCTGCCTGAACCCCATCGTGTACTGCTTCATGTCCAGCAAGTTCCGTCGTCGCATGGTGCGGTGCTGTCACCGCACCTGCTTCGAGCCGCGCTGCCGCGTCAAGTCCACCACCACAAACAACCGCTGCTCGTCCCGCAACGGCACGACGCGGCTCGGTTCCACGTACACCTTCACATCGTACGCCACATCGACGGTGGCCATACCGCACTCGATGACGCAGCTACCGGGCGACTCGCTCGCCTTGTGACAGTCGCCGTGCCCGCCGCTGCACCAGCGCGGCGCTACGCAGCTGCACGCCGTCAAGGGAGCCAAAAAGAGGAGTGCCAAGCAGCACAATCGCTGCAGGGACACAACCATTGAGGACTTTTTGTGAGCACGCAAGGACCTCTCGCGTTTGCGCGGAAATGTAATGCACTAGTGAACGTCGTAGATGCGTGAGTAACCTATCCATGACAACTGAGAAGCGCTGGCCATTGAATCGCAAGTGGGATCGTGCCAGACCGTACGTCTCACCTTAAGATGAATAGTCCAAGGACACCGGCCGGATACTCTTCAACAAGACTCGACCCTGATTTGCACAGTGTTGTTGTTACACACTGACGAGGCCAGTTATAGATGTTTGAGGTGCGTTCGGGATATACTGTATGTGTGTTAAGGGACATTATTCAGGAGATGATGTGCAGAAAAAGCCATTCATCAGGGACAAATCCATGCAAAATAGAGAAAATATGTTTCGCAGTGACACCCAGGTTGAGTTCGGAGCACTCCTCAGGTAGTTTTTGAACCGTACTTCTGTTGTGCGTGTCGTCTCGTAGTGCTGACAAAGCAGCGAACTTTCTTTTTTAAAATGTTCACTGATGGTTATTGGTCGTGCTACTATCAGATTTGTTTGTTCTCAAGCTTATGGTTGTCCAAACCATAGTTTATTCATTACGTGGGCGCAGCTGCAGCATCTATTCATACCGTGTATGTACGTCGTAATATTCCAGAAACACTTGCATGGGACAAGCAGTCTTTCTCTCCATGACGGGCTTACATTTTTGAAGGCCTTCAAAAATACATTTTGAGTGTACTGCGGCTCCAGCGGGCAATAACCACTAACTTAATGCTCAATTACAATGTCTATAGTTTGTGCACATGACGCTCATTAGGTAACCTCAAATGTTAATTAAACATTTTCTCTGCATTCATTAAAAATAAGTACATAGATAAATCATCTTGTATTGCTCCATCTAAAATAAAAAAACAAATATATACTGTACGTCGACTGTGAGAGTAAACATGTTTGCGGCTTATGATTTCATATTCCGCTCCTCTTAAGGCAAGCTACTGGACGTTAGTATGTATGCGATAGTGTGGGTGCCTTCTCAAGGCTGTTGCTTCCCTTGAAAAATGAACGGAGATGACCACGCTTGAGGGAGAATCTCACAGATCCCAGTTTTCTGACTTAAAATGTTTGTCTAAACGTGCCAATTCTATAATGGTCATTTTTTTGTCAATAGTACCCTTTGAAAGCTATTAGTGGGCCTTGTGTAAATGTGAGTCAGCATTCCCAGTGAAATAATTGAGATGCTTTTGCATATATAAAGATGTTCATTCAGGAAAGCTCTTGTTATATTGCTCTATACCCTCTAGCGTCATGTTTTCACGTCGTTCACACTTGTCGATGTCAGCATTCTTTTCCACTCAGTGAATCCAAGCGCCATATTTTGTTTCCACCAAAGACTTACTCACCTCCAGATGCGTTCTTCGTCGCTTATTCATGATTAAGGCCTCTAGAAAATAGGTGACATGCCTTGATTAAGGCTTGTGTTTTTATGTGATGATAGCGTTGGGTTCAATATACGTCTTTTTATCTAAGACTCGAAGAAAAACTTTTTTTTTTGCTTTGAAACCTTCGTGTGAAAGAATTCTTATTCGTGTCAAGCGGTTGTGCTTTCGAGAGTTCCCGTGACGTTGTCGCATTCACGGCTATAAACGGGGCACTTCTTGAGGCCACTTAGAAGTTTTTATACCACGTGCCCCGCTCACTCTCGCAGTGCTGGTTCTTCGTGCATAGCTTTCTAAAGCGATGCCAGGTGGTGCAATGTACGTCCTGTTTTCACTGGTGCTTGTATTCTCGGTGCCCCTTGTTGTAGCGTAAATTTGTTAATGAAATGTTGTCATTATGTGTGAATTTCAACGCAAGCGACGCATCAATGAAACGAAAAATGAGAGCGTTAGCATGCGCAGTGTGAATAACATTTTTTTTGACACCTAAGCCCCATTTAGAAGAATATATCTCAAAGTGACTTTGAAATAATTTTTGTACTCTGAAAGAACGAGTGAAAAAGGCTGTCAAAGGGCTCCTGAACCGCTCTAAATGCACATACAAGAGAGGGCTTTTCTTCCCTCGTCTTCAGTGCCCATTCAAAAGGCGCTACATCACGCTTGCCGTCTATTCATTCACAAAACACGTGGGTATTATGAACAAGAAAACTTTCAGCCTATCGGGATTTCACGCTCTTCGACCAAACCTTGTTATCTCCATTTGCAGATTCAAAAACACCCAAGAACGAACTGAAATTCATTGATCACACTCGATGGCATACAACGACAAGGCAAGATGGGCGTTTGTCTGCATGGAAAAGCAGTGTAGCTGACAATTTACGACTGATAATTTTCGTACATAGAACAATAATTAGCTTATTTTCTTATCGCGTTATGTGAAAAGAGAACCGCTGTCACAGATCGAGTCGAAAAGGCCGGAAGCGCTCTTTCTCTCCTTGTCTCTTCTTCGGTAGTTACGTCGTAACTACTCGTAGTCTTGCGCTGTGCAAATATGGGTAAACAAAAGGATGGAAGAACTCTGTCGTTTTTTTTTGCATTCTCAGAAGTTTTTCAGGGGCCGTTTCAAGTGCTAACGAAAAACAAAAGCAAAGTTATACATATTGGACCACACACATGGTTGTACGGCTGCCATGTGCCATTGCCTGCATGTCACGTGTTTTGCGTTGTTACATACTTGTAAAAGTCTTCTACTCTCTCCTCTTCTCTGAGCTCCATGGGCGTGAATAAAAGAGCACCGCAAAGTACTCCCCCTGCCTATGTTCAATTTCATTCTCCAACTTCACAAACTTAGTGCACGTGCACTTGGTATACACATGTGCGCAAAAGCCACGCGCTGGCTCAGCAATTGCGTTCGTTTTCAAGCTTCTCTGAAGTCATCCTTTACTCTTTATGGAAAATTCAGAGTACCCCTATTATGGACAAGTGCGCGTGTACTTGTTTATTTTTAAATGCGAAACAGTTCTCAGTGAACCGAAACACTTTAATTAATTCGACTTACATCTGGCCGCTTATTTCTGGACGTTCTCGTGGTCTCCTATCGAATTTCACGAACACTAAAATTTAGAAGGGAAGACATTAATAAATGCGCAGTTCACACCAGTACAAGGTAAACGTAACTGGTAGCGAAGCATTCATAGAGCGCCATACGTTAAGAAAATGGCGTCTCATGGGCTGTTCATTGGGCTTAGCAATATTTGTCTGAGGAGAGAACACTTGCGGCAGAACAAAAAAATAAACCGTGTGTGACGCAATAGCTGACAAACAAATGACGTCGGTTTGTTGGCACTAACACGAAGTTTGATCCTAAATTAGTCTTCGAAGGCCCCTGATCGCTAAGGACTCGCGCTAAGGCAATCGCTGGCATGTCCTCTACGACTACGCTTTAGTCAACGCCAGCTAAGCTAATATCGACTCATGACCAGATAGTGATATTTAAGTGTGCTACCAATCAATACTCCTCGGTTTGGCACGAAAACTTGTTTATCGAACTTTTATTCGGAGTTCGTGGCATCTTCTGCAAATGGATTAAGCAAGCAGCAGTGTATATTTCATATATTCAACTTGTAGTATTTGCGAAACAAATCCGCAACTTGTGTTTCTCAGTTTTAACAAGAACTGACATAGTGACGCCAAAACTCTGAAATTTGATCCAGTATTCGGCAGCTTTTTGCTGCAGCCGCCCTCTACGTGAGGAGGAGACCATTAACATAAAACAAAAAATAAAAATAAATACGTCACAACCAGAAGGGGTAGTGACGTCACGCATTTGTCCTACATGGCGCGAAATCGAAATTTTTCTTAATTGCTGACCATTCACGTGCCGCTATTAATACGCAAATTTATTGCACCTTATGCCTCGCTAATTTCTTGCGGGAGAGAAAAGAAACAAAAAAAACAAAGATTCAGGAAGCAAAGTTGTTTTTTTAGCCAAATAACGTACGTACAATATGCACCAGGAACTTCGCAGAGGCAACTGTTCGCGAACACAATAGCCTAATAGTTTGAAAACTCACGTCGCCCAATGGTCAACAACCACTGCAGCAAGACAGCAGTTTGGAAATACCGCTTTGGCAGCCGTGGAGTACAGAATATCGTTAAGGTTAAGGTTGAGGATGTTGTAGGTAGCCGACGGATCTAGCCTTGCATAGTTTTCAGGCGATTGCCCCGCCCGGTTTCCTCTTGATAATTGTAGCTAATGTCCTTTGTTTGTTTTTTAACTAAGCACGAGCAGGTTTTTAAAATAAAGATCCTGCATAGCGCGACGTAAGCCTGCAAAAGATGGCGGCCTTTGTGCTATTCCACGTGCAGCACTGTGCCGGTACTCTATCTCGCTGCACTATACCCCAAACATAGTTGTCACTTATCACCAGTCACATGCGATGTCTTTAGCAATCAAAAATTTCAAGAGAAGTCGCGACACCTGTTTCCTGAAGATCGAGGAACCACGTGGAAACGCATTATCAGTCACGCTGTCACATGGCGAGCCTAACTGTTGCAGTTCCTCAAATAAACCTTGCCGTTCCTTCTTAAGCTCACAACAATTAAGCATTGCTTGCTCTCTCTAGTATACAAGCTAGTTACAAAGGTAATTGCTAACAGAGTAAAGAAAACATTAGAATTCAATCAACCAAAGGAAAGAGCAGGATTTTTCAAACAGGCTACTCAACAATAGACCACATTCATACTACCAATCAGGTAATAGAGAAATGCTCAGAATATAACCAACCACTATACGTAGCCTTCATAGATTACGAGAAGGCGTTTGATTCAGTAGAAATATCAGCCGTCATGCAGACACTGCGAAATCAGGGCGTCGATGAAGTATATATAAACATCCTGGAAGAAATCTACAGGGGATCAACTGCTACCATAGTGCTTCATAAAGAAAGCAACAGAATACCAATCAAGAAGGGTGTAAGGCAGGGGGACACAATCTCCCCAATGCTATTTACCGCAAGCTTACAGAAGTTTTCTGAAGCCTAGAATGGGAACAGTTAGGGATAAGAGTTAATGGAGAGTACCTTAGTAACCTGCGCTTCGCCGATGATATTGCACTGCTTAGTAGCTCAGGGGACGAATTGCAACTCATGATTACGAAGTTAGACAAGGAGAGCAGAAAGATGGGTCTTCAAATGAATCTGCAGAAAACGAAAGTAATGTACAACAACCTCGGAAAAGAGCAGCGCTTCGAGATAGGCAATAGTGCACTTCAAGTTGTAAAAGACTATGTCTACTTAGGGCAGGTAATAACCGCGGAGCCGAACCACGAGATTAAAGTAACTAGAAGAATAAGAATGGGGTGGAGCACATTTGGCAAGCACTCTCAAATTATGACAGGTAGATTGCCACTATCCCTCAAGAGAAAGGTATATAACAGCTGTATCTTGCCGGTACTTAGC